AGTGTTTCCAGGTGAAAAGTTCATATTTGTACCTTTTCATAACCGAATGTTTTAAAACAGAACAGTAAAATAAAAGCCTGGAGACGAGACGGGGTGTGTGGAGTCAGTACAGCTTAGAACATATCATTTCAGTGGATTATGGTTCAGTTATGTTCCCTGACTAAAAGGTACTGAGATGGAGCCTTGAGGGTCCCACCCCAGTAACAAGAGGGGCCCCGCCCCAGAGACAGTTTAGTACCTTTATTTCTAAACTATCGTGTAAACTATCATAAAACAGTGTCTCAGTCATCAGGCAGTGAATTCATAACCATTTCATGTAGTAACTTTCTGTGAGGGAGCTTTTAGAGGTGGACGTCTGGTTCCTATCACCACCACTGTGAACAGTTCTGACTCAGTAAATGGGTGGACTTGCCCTTTAATAAATGAAACCCTGCAGTAGAATAAAAATGCTTTAATGAGGCCTCTTTGAACACATTTGCTACATCACTGATTCATACCGCTGCACTTCTCACTCAAGTCACGTGGCAAACTTCAAAAAAAAAGATAAAATTAGCAATTAAATACAACACGATTTAAACGCCGGTCGCAGTAACAGGTTCTTCTGCATCTCACAAAAAGGCACACGTCCAGAAGAGCAAAGTCCACAGGCCTCTGATTCACACCAGTTATAATAAACAGTCATTTAAACATAGTCATCCAAATGTAGTGAACGTCTTTTACAGCCGCACTTCCAAAGTAAACCACTGAACCGCAATGACAGTTCAAAGAGTTCCTCAAACACAGCAGGTAGAAATGAAACAAAACAATGAAATTATTACTCAGTTGAGTCTGAACCAGTCAGCTTCGCAAACTAGAGGTTTAACACAGACGTTGGGAAACGGTTTCTGCACATGTTTCAGATCATATTTGGCTGAAAATCTATAAAATGACCAATATCATCATCACGGTCATATCTAAACCTCACTGTGTGTGAAGTCTGAAAACACCAGCTGCTCTTTATACTGTGCCAACTTTCAATTGTCCAAAATTGTTATAAAGCTGTAATTACAGTTACAGCCATATGCAAAAGATTTAACACTACTGGCTGATGACACATGTTGCTCATTTTCTAAGCGAAAATAAGAGAACACATCCTCTACAGAGAACCTAAACGTGGAATTTTTCAGTAAAGTTTTCGCAGCATATGTTTTATTTTTCCCCAATATGTTAAATTCAGTAAATAAACAGTAAGTGTGTATTAAAACGTGCAGAAGTGTGTCTCTGTAGAGGATGTGTAATTTATTTAAGCCAACAAAACATGGAATTTTACCAGGGCGCACAAACCTTTGCACACAACCACATATAGTTTCCTCATGTCATTTCGACCCACTCCACAGTGACCAGTGTTCTGACAGGAGTTTCATGCTTGTATATATTCCACAGAGCTGGTTTCCTGGACAGGGATTAAGCTTAGTCTTGGACTAAACAATGTCAGTGACAGTTCACCGTCACAAAATCCCATTTAATCTGGATTTAGGCTTAATCTGGGAGACTGACCCCCAGCATTAGAGATATTCACTCAGCAGTTCAGAAGAATTCTGGGCCAAAATTTGAGTGATGGTGTGGTTCCTGTGATGTATAAGGGACTTTAATGACAGGCCTGTTGGAGCCTCAGTGAGGGTGGGCGACATGGCAGACCTTTAGGGTCTTCTCGATTAATCGGCAGTGATAAGTAGTCAGTTTGTATGGTGATGATGCATCATAGCCCATTCTTACAGTAACAGACAGAACCTGACGGACACAAACATCCATGTGTATTTTTTTACTTGCAGTGTCTATACACACACACACACACACACACACACACACATACGTATGTATACAAAACTTTGTCTGATCCACTCAGACCAGCACAACACACACTAACACACCACCACCACGTCAGTGTCACTGCAGTGCTGAGAATGATCCACCCCCCAAATAGTACCTGCTCTGTGAGGGTCCATGGGGGTCCTGACCACTGAAGAACAGGGTAAAAGGGGGCTAACAAAGTATCAGAGAAACAGATGGACTACAGTCTGTAACTGTAGAACTACAAAGTGACCCTATATAGTAAGTGGAGCTGATAAAATGGACAATGAGTGTAGAAACAAGGAGGTGGTCATAATGTTATGACTGACCGGTGTACATAAGTCTTCATATGACATATTTTCATCTTTTATATATACACTCTTACAAAAGCTGGTTATTCAAGGGTTCTTTACTAAAGAAAATGGTTCTATATAGAACCACGAACACTCACAGAACCCTTTTCAGAGAGGTTTTATATACAATCTGAAAAAAAAGATGGTTCTTCAAGGGTTCTCTAGTGAAGTAAATGGTTCTATATAGAACCATGATCAATCAAAGGACCCTTTGCATGATTAAAGGGTTCTCTGCAATGTGAGGGAGTTCTTCAGATTGACATGTTCCATACAGTTCTGTTTTCAGTTTCTACGGCACCGAAAAGTGTTCTCCTATTGCACGTTACAATACAGGCTCTACAGCACATTCTCAATCATTCAGAAGAACCCTTTCACCATGCAAAGAACCCTATAATCATGCAAAGGGTTCTTTGAGTGGTCATGGTTCTATATAGAACCATTTTCTTTACTAAAGAGTCCTTTAAGTAACCATCTTTTTAGGAGTGTTACATGTAAAAGATGAAAATATATATATTATGCATATTATATATAAAGACTTACATATATGGATGAAGCTATTTTATCTTTTCCCAGTATAGTGTTATTATGATCTTTGAAAGACTCTGCAGAGTTGTTATTGTCCAGTTTAGTCCATTCTTATTGTTTGGCCGCTAATGTTTTTTCAAATAATGATAAATCAATTAATCATCACTGATTACAGCCCTCAGCCCACTGGATGTGCCTCCCTGGATCTACTTAAAGAAGTGGTTTGGGACAAAAAGATTTAATTTACAGTTATCCACTTACCAAAGATGTAGTCAATCAGCTGAGATTAATCTGTGCCCCCCTTAACAAAGACCTGTATGCGGTTTCAGAAGGTCAGAGAAAGTTTTGTGTATGTATTTACAGAAATGATTTGGGTGACTATTGACTTCGTGTTCATTAGTGACATTAGCCTCATTGCTCCAACGCTTAACAAAGGCATCAAAATCTGGAAGCCAAACATGTGTTAGCTGATCGACTAAATCTAGGATGCATGGAAAATTGTGTACACTTGATTTTTCACCCAACCGGTGGTAAGCAGGTGGTAATTACGCAAAATTCAAATTTGCAGTTTCACAACAACAGAGCAAAAAACGCTTCTGAACCTGCTTTTAGTGGAGTGCTTTTAGTACTGACTCTCCACTGTTCTTTAAGTAATGCCAAAACACACAGAGTCAGAAAAGAATGTCATTGACAGTTGATTGTGATGACAGTGTCATATCCCCATATCGCCCATCCTCGACCGCAACCTCAAAAAAAAATAAATAAAATAAACTGAAACTCAATCTTAAAGTCGTACCCTGACGTTAAAACAGGACAGAGAGAGCACTGCGCAGTCCACAGTGGCAGAGAATATCAGCTGTACACAGATCAGGCATAACATTCTGACCACCTCCTTGTTTCTACACTCATTGTCCATTTTATCAGCTCCACTTACTATATAGGAGCACTTTATAGTTCTACAGTTACAGACTGTAGTCCATCTGTTTCTCTGATACTTTGTTAGCCCCCTTTTACCCTGTTCTTCAGTGGTCAGGACCCCCATGGACCCCCACAGAGCAGGTACTATTTGGGTGGTGGATCATTAGTGTGTGTTGTGCTGGTACGAGTGGATCAGACACAGCAGTGCTGCTGGAGTTTTTAAACGCTGTGTCCACTCACTGTCCACTCTATTAGACACTCCTACCTTGTCAGTCCACCTTGTAGATGTAAATTCAGAGACGATAGCTCATCTGCTGCTGCACAGTTTGTGTTGGTCATCCTCTAGTCCTTCATCAGTGGTCACAGGACGCTGCCCACAGGACACTGTTGGCTGGATATTTTTGGTTGGTGGGCTATTCTCAGTCCAGCAGTGACACTGAGGTGTTTAAAAACTCCAGCAGCACTGCTGTGTTTGATCCACTCAGACCAGCGCAACACACACTAACACACCACCACCATGTCAGTGTTACTGCAGTGCTGAGAATGATCCACCACCCAAATAGTACCTGCTCTGTGAGGGTCCATGGGGGTCCTGACCACTGAAGAACAGGGTAAAAGGGGGCTAACACAGTATCAGAGGAACAGATGGACTACAGTCTGTAACTGTAGAACTACAAAGTGCACCTATATAGTAAGTGGAGCTGATGAGGTGGTCATAATGTTACGCCTGATCGGTGTATGCATTAGTAATAAAGCCCAGTCAAAATTACTGGGTAAATGTGCACTGAAAGCAACGATCACCTCCGAGAAACTTTCTGAAACCAAAAAAAAACAAATATACTCACATTTACTCAGTTTTCATGTTGTCCTGCACACGGTGCAAGAAAGGGCTATCCAGGCAGGTTAGTAGTCATCTAGAGACTTTTGCACACATTAAAAAAATTCAAATGCTGTGTTCACATTACCAGGCTGAAGTGGCACAAATCCGATTTTCTTCCCTAATGTGACTCAGATCTGATGTTTTCAGGGCTGTGTGGACACAAATCTGATCTTTTCAAATCTAACCTGAGTCACTTTCATATGTGGTCCTATGATCGGATACGTATCCGATTCGTGGCCATGTGACCTTAATGTGACGCTCAGATCGGAATTCATTTGCTTTTTCTCCGCTGCGCCATCATTCAGCGTTACCATGGCAGCAGCGCCGAACAGAAGTTAAAGCCTGTAAACGGTGGAAAAGCAGCTCATCTCACCTTTTTCTCCTTCGTCTCGCTCTAATAATGAAGCTGAGAGCTGATCAGAGTTAATGATCTTCTCAGCGAAGCTCGTTCTGCTCGTTAGTTTGTGCTGATGATGATTGCGATTCATTCACGTGACGTTACTGAGTAGGATGAGCTCATGAGGGTCATTTCAGGACGCCAGTTCATCACATTAATAACAGATTTGAATCACTTACCTAAATGAGTGTGAACCATCGTGTCAGAGAGATCGGATTTGAGGAAAAAACCGGATTCGAGTAATGAGGCTCGTAATGTGAACGCAGCTAAATACAAAACAGGGAAGTGGAAGAACAGAAAAACAAAAACAACCACCAAAGCAATAAAGTAACACAGATCCGGTTGAACAATCCCTAAAAATAATTACACATTCTAGAACGATGTTCTTCAGACAGCAGATCACTCGAGGGTGAACAACAAGACTAACCCGCTCGAGGGTTAATGGAACAAGTGTGGCGTCTAAAATTCCAGCAGCACGTTTTCCAGATTTAAACGACCCGTCTGCACTCTTAAAAATAAAGCCTCTTGGTTCGTACGGTTCTAGGATAAAGCATTTAACTGGTATAGATTCTTCTCATCATACTGAGGTTCTTTAAACATCCCAATTACAGACACTATACTTTAAAGAACGTTCTACTGAAAGGTTCCTTACATACAAAAGTGAAAAGAACGCCTTATTTGTAAGAGTGAGGTGAAATGAGGTTGTGGGGTTGGACGATGGCATGAAGAAGACTTCAGTGACCCGAAGCTCCGTTCAGGGTGGCAGTGCCAGCAGGAACATCTGCCAACCCTGAGTTCACTACTGTGCACCACTAATTAAAGGAAACCTCCACCCAAAATACAAACAGAGCTAATGATAAATAAAAGCTGCTGGGAAGTCATTAGCTTCATCTCATTCATGTGATGCTAACTGGCTTCCATTCATGTTGGCAGTCGCCAAAAACGCTAACGTGGCTAACACACCAACATAAAAACACTATGGACTGTTGGCGCTATCTGGCTTCTGCTAGCTTCCATTCACATTAGCCACACCAGCATCCAGAAAGCTAACATGGCTAAAAATGAATTAAAGCTACATGCATTCACACACGACGCTAGATGGCGTCTTCTAGCTCGTATTCATGATTAGCAACGTTTTTGGGTGAAATATTCCTCTAATAAAGTCAGGCGATGTGGTGATCAGAACTAATAACCGTTGATGAGTGTCCATTGTTTACAGCTGCGTCGCTAAGAGTCTGACGTGAAGCCGAGGCAGGACCTCTCTCTGCTAACTCCCTGCTACATACAGCTGCCCCACATGGACACCTCTGCGTTCAGGTGGCCGAAAGTCGTCAGGTCCAGGTGGGGTGGTGTCCAGCCACGCTGGGCTGGATATATGACGACAGTGTACGGCACAAGAGTACAACTTTTACATCTCACGTCGTTTTCGGATAGATTTTCTCGTAGAAAAAGTTCTGCGCCAGAAGGTAAAGTTCTCCGTCCTTTTCCCGGACCGCGTGAGCGCGGGCAAACTGGAACTGCTCCAGCGCAAACTCATAAAACTCGTTCTCCATCTTCCAGATGGCCGACTGCTGCAGCCTGGCTATGGACTCTTTAGTGGGCGGCTTTTTCTCGCTGGTTTTCCTCAGATGGGATTTCTTCCCTGTGGGAGGACACAGAAACGTATCAGGAACCAGATTACAGAAACATCCTAAATCTCATCTAACTCTTATTAACATCTACATCTGCGGCCGTGTTACAGAAACTTCCTCTCCTCTTGTCTTAACTTAAGATCTGACAGGTCAAGATGAGGTTTTTCACAAATTCGTATTACAGAAGCAAAACTGATCTTAATTTAGGAATCTTATCTAATCTTAGAGCATCTTTTCTTATCTCAAGTTACGAAATCTTAACTTTCTCGTTCAAAGTCGACAATCAACTGTCGTGTCTGTTACCTAGCAACTGACCATACGTGCACAGCTGAAACGTAAACACATAATGAAGCTAGTTAGCCAGACGGCTAACGTTAGCTGCCGTTAGTGAGGTAAAAAGGCAAACAAAACTAAAACATGATAAACTGAAAGTTAAGAATATTGTTTCAGCGCTTTGTGCTGTTTATCAGAGCGTCTCAGTCTCCAGTTTCAGTCTCCATTTCCCAAACGCTTTAGCCGAGCGCGCTAACGTTACTCCTCCTAATAAACAGACACACGTTCAGCTCCGTCTCCTCATTATTCACCACCATCGCTGTAATATTTTATCTAATGAGTTTTATCAAACAATAACACACTAAGGTAATAAGAGGGACGGTGGAGATCGTGTCTGCAGGGTCTGGGCTTTTAAAACGCTGTTTAAAACTCAAGTCAAAGCACCTTTTTCAATGTAGATAAATGTGGCGTCATCATGCTACCGGTCACGGCATAAAAAAATAGAAACAGACGATTAAAACAGAAGTTAAGACAGTTCTGGAGATATTTTAGCAACTTAGGATGTTTCTGTAAAATGTTTTCTCATCTGGAAATAAGATTATAGACTTAAGAACTGTTGTTCTGTAACGGCTTCTGTCCTTAACTTCAGTCTTAACTGAAGTTACCATGACAACAAAACAGATAAGATATAATCTCAGACTTTTCTGTAATATGGCCCCTGATCTGTTTGGTCACCATGACGACTTCAGTCAGGACTGGATGCAGTACAGACGCTATTCCAGAACAACAGTTCCTGACTTCATAATCTCATCATTAAGAAAACAGCATCACACAAACATCCTAACCTGACCGAATCTCCTAAATCCTGTCCTAACTTTAGGATGAACCCCAACAGGGTCCTCACTTCTGTTTAAGGTCCGTTTCTATGGTTTTTAGGCAGCTGAGTCAGCAGCATAGTTCACTACCAGCATAATGAGCTCCATTTATTTCTACTGTAAAACGCTGCTTTCACTGTGAGATGATTTTCTTTTCTAACTCTGCGTTTTAAAGATCTCAGACGCTGCAGACTCGATCTCCACCGCCCCTCTGATCACCTTCGTGTGTTAATGTTGATGATGAAATATTACAGTGATGGTGGTGAATAATGAGGAGACGGAGCTGAACGTGTGTCTGTTTATTAGGAGGAGTAACGTTAGCGCGCTCGGCTAAAGCGTCTGGGAAATGGAGACTGAAACTGAAGGAGCGGCGACGCTCTGATAAACAGCAGGGGGCGCTCTCACAGTAATCCTAACTATACACACTTAAAAATTATGGCTCTTCAAGTGTTCTTTAAAGAAAATGGTTCTATATAGAACTTTGAACACCAAAGAACCCTTTGCATGATTAAAGGGTTTTTTTGCAAATGGTTCTTCAGATTGATGGAGAATGTGTTTTACATGGTTCTATATAGAAGCTTTTCGAAAAGACTTCTATACAGCACCCAAAAGGGTTCTTCTATCCTTACGATGTCAAGCCTGTAACAATAAAACAACCCTTTTTGGTGCTATATAGAGCCCTTTTTAAAAAGGTTCTAAATAGAACCATTTAGAGCACATTCTTCATCAACCTGAAGAACCATTCAGCGATGCCAATATAAATGTATCAAAGTTATCATAGTGTCCATTTTGCACGAGACAAAAATTATTTTATTTCTATTTTTTAATTTTTTTCAAAAGTTTGCTGCAAACTTTGTGTTTATGTCTTCCTTTTAAAATGATTCAGATAATTTTGAGATATTTAATTGATATTAAATAGAAATGGTTCAATATCACCATTTCTTTTCTCCTTTTCCAACTATGAACTGACTACTAACTGACTATAAACGAACTAAACGTGTAGAGGATGTTAAACTCGCATGTTTACTGTATTCACTGTATTCTTAAATCTAACAAGCAAAATAATTAAGATAGCAGTCTACTGCATTAAGCTGCAGTGTTCCTGTTGCTGTGCCGGTATAAATTATACACTGCGGAAAGTCCCAATTTTAGGAGAAGCAGAACAGTCCAATCAAAAACAACTCTGTCAGGTTTATAAGACATTCCTTTAGCACAGAGCAGCAGCGCACTGGAAGCCTGGCTTCACCTTCTTTATTAATGCTCACTTATTAACTTTATTAATCCAAATTGAAATTATCATCCATCATAATAACAAACACATTATTTACAGTTCCACTCCACTTTGTTGGATCGTACCTGTTCTATAGAGCTCAGCAGCCCCTTTGAAAAAACGTGGCAGTGCAGCTTCCAGCATCATCACAAAGTCCTCCAGCTCCTCCGTCACTCCGACCAGCATGTACTCGTTCACCAGGTTGTACTTGGCCTGCTCCAGAGCCCAGTGGCTGCCGATGTTCCTGCAGAGAGTGGACCATCAGGAGAATCAGGAGACTCATGAGAATCCACAAACTCAAAAAACAAAAATTTAATCAGGACTAGACTTAAATGACATCTCGCTGCTGTCAGAAGAAAACCTCGTATCTCCAAAACGGTAACTTTACAGGAGAAGGAAAAAACATACTTCACTTTTAATGAAAGTCAATGGAACCAGAATTTTTCCAAGTCATTTTGGACTGTTTCTTTTGGTCCATCCTTCATGAAATTTCCCCACAATTTAAAGGGCAGCAGGCATTTTCAAAATATGTGAAAAAGTGAAAAATGACAAAAATGGAGATATGAGGTTTTCTTCCGACAGCAGCGATAAAAATATTTGATTATTTTAAAACATAAAGGACTAATGGTGGCACTTTACAGATCAGTTATAAGTGTGTAACGATATGATAATATTACGGTAACAAGTTGTACTTAACAAAATATGACAATGATTTTCATACTGTTATTAAATTACAAGTTAGTAACTGTAACAGTCATGTCAGTATTCACATGTAGATTTGATAACAGATATAACAGATTATTGGTGGTATTGTTACTACTATAACAATATTATGGACAATTATCAATAATGTTTTAATTATTATTATTATTATTATTATTACAAAACAGGTAACAAGTTGTGCTAACAATGAACTGAATGAAGAAAAATGCTCACTTTCTAGCTGTTACTAAAAATTCATATAAAGAAAGATACACAGATATGTGGAGTGATTTTCTTTCATCACTGAACTCATTTCAGAGCCTTTTGTCAGATCTGTGTTTTATAACAGACTAACAGTGTTTTGTTAACATATATAGATATACCAACCATGAGTTATTATTGAAATGATTTTCATAATGTAATTGCAGTCATAATTTCAGTGCAGTTAGCCAGATTATTCTGAAGAACTAACATTACCACCTGATGTGAAATGCAGAAAACTGAGAAAACAAGAAAGAAGGATTTGCATTTTTCAACTATAATAGCCTTTAACTTCAATTATCATCACTATTTAGTGACTACAGTCTCTTACTGTCTGTACATCACACTCTGCCTGACCATTTAAGGACATGACAGGTAAGAAACAAAGCAGAAACATTAGCAGAATTACTATTTACAGCACTAATACCACATCATTTCAGCAGAACCCCTGCACTGTTTACCCTACAATGATTTAAAGGAATTAGGGTCACATGTTAATTAAGCAGATGTTGTGCTGGACACCTTAATCCTATAAATATTTTGTATCAACTAGAAAATCAACTTTATTTATGAGTAATTAGAATGTTACCTTTTTTTTATTTTATCATCAACTACTTACCACTACAATTACAAACGTACTATTTATTAACGATTAGAAAATTAGTATGAAATGTGTTAGATTAGTCCAAACCGCTTCCATTATTTTACCATTTTATTACAATCTCGTTACTGTTTCAATTACTAATTTAGCAAGAAAACTAGCATGAAATTTTAGTACAACTGTTTACCATAATATTGCCATATTGTTCCCCCTTCTTACCGATCAGTGTTACTATAATAGCGACGCTCTAGTGACATCCTGCTTAAGAGAAGCGGCAGAAAACTGTCCTTCATGCGCTCAAGGCTGCTACTGCGCAAAAACAGCACAGCCAGCAAAACAGAACGCTGGCTATTCACGCTGAGGAAGTCAGATTAAGATTGGGAGACCCTTATTAATCCCACAATGGGGTAATTTCACCTCCGCATTTGACCCATCTGTGCAGTGAAACACCACATACACAGTAGTGAACACACACACTAGGGGGCAGTGAGCACACTTGCCCGGAGCGGTGGGCAGCCCTATCCGCAGCGCCTGGGTAGCAGTTGGGGGTTAGGTGTCTTGCTCAAGGGCACTTCAGTCATATAGTGTCAGCTGAGGGGACTGAACCAGCAACCTTCCGGTCGCAAGGCTGGTTCCCTAACCTGCAGCCCACGACTGCTGTCCTGTTACGTGCTGTTAACAGATGCTGTTTAACAGGACTTTCACGGCAAATGTGATGCGCACATCCTGGTAAAATACTGTTTAAAGACCAAGCATTAGGTGTAAAAGTATGCTGGTAATGTAGGGGGGAGTTCTGTGTTTCAAAGCACTGTTACTGTGGTAATTATGTCTTTCACCACAGGGTGTCAGCAGAGTACAGACAGCACACACTGAGGCTGGACTTACGCTACGACTTTTACTCCAATTTTAATCCCAGTGGCTGGAAACTCAATCAGAAGTGACTGACGAGTCAACTTTTAGCCTTCTGATTGAGCTCCGGAGCAACCGGGGGTCTTGATTATTTATAATAATAATAACAAACAAAATGTTCAGCGTCAGATGGTCACTGCAGTAACTCAGACACTGATTCAGGCAACAGCCAATAACAGAGCTAGAAAAGACCAGAGGCAAACAGGCGAATACGAGATCAGAGCTATGAAATATTTCTCCAGCTCTGACTGTGACATCTGCGTTTCTCAACCACATATCCATCCCCAGGTCTGCAGGTCCACGGTGCTTCTCCCGTGAGCACAAACGCACCAGCAGTTTTAGCCAATTTAGCTCTGTTTGTAATGTAGGATGACAGAGACTGTGGGGCTCTGAGTGCTTTTTCATGTTTGTGTGTGTTTTATTCTGTCTTCGCCTTATCGTCTAGTGTGCGTGACAAAAGTACCATAATATGCTAACGCTAACCAGACACTAGAAGACTTGGAGAAGAATCTGTAAAGACTTTTGAAAGACTAAAGTCTGACACCCTCTCACACCTAAAGACAAGGTCACAGTTTTTAGTCACAGACTATGATTTTGCAAAGACTGGGGATCTTTCAGGGATCTTTCAAGACTGCAACTAGATTTTTGAGATTATTTCCCATCAGGCACCTGGTGGAAATTTACAAGCAGATAAACACTTTTCCTTCCACTATGGTGATACAGATGGGAAAACACGTTGGCTGGATATGTAAAGATCTGGGGCTCAGAGCACTTCACTGTATTCTGGCAGATCATCACCCAGAATCTTTAATTAACCTGTAAAATGTGCAGCTACTCTTTATTTAACATAAAGATTTACACATCAACACAACATGCAGTGATTCAGCACTGCTGATTGGGTTTTATGAACTAAACCATAAGAAACAAAATAAGAAACCAGTGTAACAGGAAGCAAAGAAAAAGCGAAAAATAAAAAAAACAGCATTGATTATTTTTATTAATGCCATAGTTAAAGTCCTCTGCACGTTTCCTTACATCACTGCTACATTCAGTGAACCTGAAATATTAAAACAGTCGGTTTACATTTTTAAGTTAATATGATTTTTGTTTTGAAGGGCAGCCTTTTTTACAGAGATTTCAGGTTCTCATGCATGCATTTTCTCCCTTGCTCTCTCTCTCTCTCTCGCTCTATCGCGCCGCGGGCCTGCGCTCGCCCACTCGCTCTCGCGCCCCGGCACGTCACTATTGGCATGAGCCAAGACTTAAAAGTTACGAGTTAAGCCGGCCGTCCTGACCACCTCACACTAAACGATCGAGATGATGCGAGCGCGATGCAACTCCAGCACGACTCTCATGATTTTATCCCGACACTGGAAATTTGTCTGCGACAGTGAAATCGCTTGAAAAGTCGCTTGGTGTGAGGCCAGCATAAGTGTGTGATGGTTTCTGTTCAGAAATCTGTTAGGATATTAAAAACGGTGCAGTGCACACTCAGCTCAAAGACCCCCAGACTGACCAGCACTCGGAGTAATGGCCACAGAAGAAAGGAATCTGGAGCCAGAGTTTCTCAGGAGCACAGTCTGATCCTCCTGCAGCTACGCACTCATCAAACGTCTGAAAAACAACACACAGCAAGGTTATAAAACGTATTCAAAACGATGTTCACTGAACACGCAGTTTTCATAGTGACAGGAATATAATTTCTTTATAAAACAAGTGCAAACAGTGAAGATGATGCCTGTACATGAAATTATTTCCAAAACAAAAATGAAATAATAATAAAAACCCTCAAACCGTGTGGAGCTGTTCAGTGATCTCTAATGTTGTTTCTCACACTGTACGACTAGATAACAGCGTAACTTACAGTCCCAGAAACCACAGGAAGTCTATTAGATATCACTTAAAAATAAATTCCACTGATTTTTAAAACATTCTACATAATTCAGTGGTTGAGACACAAAGTCATTCAGTGTGGTGTGATGTGAAATAGTTCACTGTAGAGAAATTTACCCTCTGATTTTTTTTTTTACAGTAGTTTAGTTTATATTTTCATTCAGTAATGGGATTTATTATCCAAAACCATCAGTGAACCTACATGTGCGTTCTGAGTTTTATATGGAATGTTGATGATGGAAAAATAGTGGAAAATTTGAAAATAGTAAGTTTTCTGTGGGGACTATTTTGCCTCAGAACACCCTACATGCACCCCTCCACCATGATTTAATAAAAGTAAAAATTTTAGACTAAAAACTTCAAAACTATCATAAAACAGTGTCTCAGTCATCAGGCAGGGCAACTTTCTATGATGGAGCTTTTAGAGGTGGACGTCTGGTTCCTATCACCACCACTGTGAACAGTTCTGACTCAGTGAGTTTCTCTAGAGCAGAGCGTTTCACACCAAACCACTCTGAACGACTCTGTTTACATCTGAACCGTTTAATTATGCAGAAGAATTTAGTGGAATTCCACTTTAGTAAATTCAGATTGGATAGCTAAACACTGAATTAGCAGCATTACCATGTAGCTCCAGGTTAAAACAAAAGAAGCAAACTTCAGACACCAAACATGCCTTGGCTGAGAGGCTACACCTACGGTAGGGGGAACTGTGTACGTCTGTTTGCTATTCCTTTAAAGCCTTTAACTGATACATAAATATGGTACAACAAGCAAGAACACCAAAGAAAGCGTAAAAGCTGAAAGGGAAAACGGCCCAGCCTGACCTTCTTGTCACCTTGTTTCCTGCGTCTCAGGCCTGGTCTGTAGTCGTCCCCAAAACGGAGGAAGTAGTAGTAGGATACCAGGCGCTCGATGGGGTCTCGGATCACATTGATGTAAATGGGCTTTTTTGTAACACCAAATCTGTCCAAAGAAGAAAACGGTGAATATGAACACTGCAAATAAATGATTCAGCAAGACGCTTAAAAATATATATATATATATTTTCCAATGTTTTTATTATTAAGAACAACATGGACAATATACTTCTACTGGATGTATATTACATGTGACTGCTGTATACATTGTACTATATTAAAACCTAATTATGTGACATAATTAAAGTTTCTCATGTTGGATTACATGAACACTTTGACTCATTAGAGCACCCACAGAAACTCATTAGGAGCTGTGGTTGGTCAGAAATCCCGTAGGACATAGTAAACAATACTGTGACTGGTTAGAAGCTCAACTGCATAGAAGCCGTTTTGCAATATCACTGCAAAGGTCAAAATAACACTAATGAATGTGAAATGATGTATTGAGCAGCCTCGTACAGCAAAAACTCCAAACTGAAACCCAGCAGACGTTTGAAGCTGTCTCGTCTCATTCTGTAGTCATGTTAGTAACTCTGGGTCTAAGCTGGTTTTCTCTTTTGGAAAAAACACCCACATCGTCTAAAATCAGCGCTTTCTTTCAAAGCTCTGAATGTCGTCAGATTCTCTAAATTATGAGGTCGTCAAGGAGAAAAAATATGAGCAAAAATACAAAATGTGTACATAAAAAAATGCATAATTCTTGCTCAGGCCACATTTTACTTTTTTCTTTTTTTTTCATCATGTAAACAGTGATTGTGTATTAAAATGTGCAGTAGTGTGTCTCTGTAGAGGATATGTAACTTATTTACACTTTGAAAATCAACACAAACATGGAATTTCACCAGGAGCGCACAAAAATTTGCCCTGTATCTGATTCAGGACTTCCCAGATGTAAGCGTCTAATCTCGATTGCTGGGAGTTTGTAAACAGCTTTAATTTTCAATAACTGTCAGTTTGCTTCCCGTTTTTCTTGTTGCTGTTTGTATTGCATCCATTGCAGTCCACTGCAGTGCAACAGCCCCACCTACTGGAGCTCAAACTGAGCAAAACTCACTTGGTAAAGTCGAGGAACGAAACGTGGCCGTGGTAGAACGCCGGCTTCATCTCCTTCCATGACGTCACATTCTTAACAAACCGCACCTGCGAAATAATTTTGAATGATCAACGTTAAACAGTAACTAAAAACACTAGAAATGATGTGAAAAATACAGTAAAATTCCCCTCAAAACAGAACACAAGTGTGACTATTTCAATTACATATAAATGTAAAATACTAAAGAGAGAGCAAGCATTCATTACTAAACATCTAAAATAGAAGCCATACCGCCCCCTACACTTCCTGTTGTGTATTACAGTCTGTCAGAATGACTGTGTGTATCATATGAACATTATAGAGGCTTTTTAAATGAAACAGTAGAAGCCATATCGCCCCCTACGCTTCCTGTAGTGTATTACAGTCTGTCAGAGTGACTGTGTGGATCATATGAACATTATAGAGGCTTTTTAAATGAAACAGTAGAAGCCATATCGCCCCCTACGCTTCCTGTAGTGTATTACAGTCTGTCAGAGTGACTGTATCATATGAACATTATAGAGGCTTTTTAAATGAAACCGTTTAATTTTCTTTTTAACTGCGTATTTATAACTGTATCTTTCACACTTATATTCTCAATCAAAAACGGATTTTCTGCTTTATTAAAACTCTGTAATCCCACCTAAAGACTAGAATAAATCTCATGAACTAAGTGAGCACAGTTTCAGATGAATTCTTTCTGATGTATAATGGTGGGGTGGAGTGGGGTCTCTGACCTGGTCCTGCAGGGACATGACGGGGTTGTTCTTGGTGGTGTTGATGTGCAGGACGTGGTAGCGGTTCTTGCTGCACAGGTCGTAGGCGATGTTGGTGAAGGAGGTGCTGGCTGTTTTGGGAACTCTGTTGTAGATGACCACCACATCATCCTCTTCATCTGCTGTGACCTCCCTCAATCCCTCCTGAACATGACGGTCATCAACCGCTCGTACCTCATGTCTGGCTATGGCACGTTCTGCAAAGGAGAGGACAAAGGAATAAAAAAAACAACCATTTTAAATGTAGCTGCTCAGCCGAGACATGTTCAGTGTCTGTTGTCTATAAAAATGGACAAAAGTACAGAAATAAATCAGGCTTTACAATGTTTGTAGTTACAGTTGTATGTAAAAAAAACAAACACTTTTGCACATTTTAATACACAAACTACTGTTTATTTACTGAATTTAACCTACTGGGGGAAAAATAATACATAAAATGTAGCCTGCGCAAATTTTATGTGGCACATTTATGTTTTATTTTTTTACAATATCTTAAACTCAGCACACAAATAGAAACTGTGCTCTAAAATCTGCAGAAACTGCAAATACATATTTAAGGAAGCTCTCTGTAGAGGATGTGTTTTCACTTAACTTATCTTCACTTAGAAAATCAACAAAACATGCAGTTAGCCTGGGGGGCATTTCAACTTTTAAACAGGCCATAACAGTGTGTCATATGGTATCTGAAACCACATAATCAAGTCTAAAATAACTACACAGGGTTTGCGATGTTTTAGGCTAATTGGTGGGGTATAATTCTCTGGGTTATAATTTTCATTACTGTTTTCCTGTTCAGAATTGTAGTTTGTGACAAACTAAATAAAAAAGGAACGCATTTTCAGCTTTGTTAGATCATGTTCTTTGCATATCAAATAAATGGAACAACTTTTGTTAAAAAAAGAAAAATCACTTAATTAACAGAAATGACCACGTTTTTGGCCATAAACACTTAATATTGTCTAATTTCATCAGTCATAATTATCGGTTGCCTCTTCTACTCAGCAGTACTGTTATACGCTCTAAAATGACCCTGTCTGTGCACCTTGATACCCCAGTGTTAATACTGAATCAGACTGTTAGCCTAATTTGTGCCGTATTAACTCATTCATGCACAACAACTGAGAAAAAATGCCACAGAACTTCTGACTGGTCTAAAGCAGAGGACTGGATACTGGATTAAAGGTCCGAATTTGAAGACCTTAGAGGAACATCTAACAGTACTCACTGAATTTTTTATTACATATGTCATACGCTATATGGCCAAAAGTATGTGGACAGTCCTAAATATTGGCTTCAGCTGCAAAAGCTTCATATAGACACCCATGGTTGTGAAATGGGATGTCCAACAAGCTCAGGTGTCCACATACTTAAGGCCATATAATGGACTAATCAAATTTGGATTTTCTAAGCAGCTCCAAAAGTCTGTATGAGCAAAAGATTGAATGTGCTTTAAAATTAAAAACTCTGAATTTCTACAGACTTGTGGTAAGTTTTGAGAACACATGGACTGAAGGACGTAACATTTCAGATACGGACATTACTGAATGAAGGAAACGTGAATGTGAGAAATGACCTAATGTAGTGACCTGTAGCAGGAGCTCAGACTCTTTTAGGCCTTTAGCTCCTGTAAGCACAGAGACGTGATGAGCCCATGAAATCCAACACTTACACCTGTCAGACAGCGCAGGTGAATCCACTACAGTCAGCTTAACTGTCAAACGGACAGATTAGACTCTGACGAATGTCTTGTAAAAAAGGCAGCGAGTCAGGTTATGACTAATTTTAGATTTCCACGTTTCCAAATTTCTTACGTTCAATGCAAAACAGTCATCCTGTATAAAACTACTCAGTAAGACTGTTTGTGCTTGGGAAGACTTTGCAATCATAGAAATATAAATTATAAACCCAAACGGGGGTTTATAATTTATCTTATTCCCCTTTGGAATAAACGTTTTCAAAGCCACGTTCTTACATTTTGTTTCATTTTATGTGGAGATTCTGTCTCAGTTTTCTCTCTTCTATCCAAACAGATTCTGATTTTAGGAGATATTTGAACACTGTTTGAATTTGATGAAAAGTTAATGTTGTGTGTACGTCTCTTGTTTTGCAGAAAAAACATCTTTTTTTCATATTTGAGTCATTTTCTTGACATCGCAATAAGCGAAAAAAGTCTGAGGTGGAGCATCAAAACTGTCAATATAGACTGTACATCAAATGTAAATGCAACTGAGTATGTAACTCGCTACTTGATCATTTATGAAATTGTTGTCATTTTAATAGTGCAGCAAAACGACAGTAATAACTCAAGTAGTTACAAGTAGAGTTGCATGACATATTGAACGTTCAGTGCTTACTAGATGATAAACACTTCACTACTACTGACAAATTCACTGCTGTTGATTAATTCCTAAGATGTGTCAACACTTTAATAGTGTTGTATTCCTCCTTATTTATTTTTTAGAAGATATTAGATATAAGAGGACTTCAGATTTCCTTACATAAGGAAGGAGAAAGTCAAAAGAAAATAAGCAAGTTTCAAAAACTGGAGTTCAAACCCAACTAAAAGCTACAGAGAAAATGGGGCTCCTAACAACCACCTGGAAGACCTGGTAGACACCAAAACTGTCCCCCATCAGATAAACAGCACTGAAAGCTTTCATCTCTGAGAGAGAGGAGAAAATCAAGCTGCTTCAGATCTGAAAACATCCACAGGTGTTTCTGTCCATCCTTCCACTGAGAGACGACTCAGCGCTGTGGGTCTGAAAGGATGTGTAGCTGATCAAGAAGAACCTCACTGAGAAAAGGAGACGGACACATCAAACAAAGAAGCTGAACGATGGACTGACCACCCCAGAGTCCAGACCTCAACACCACTGAATGTGTTTGATTACTTCAGAAAATGATCAACCAGCTTCTAAGACTGAACTTTGGAGGTGTGTCTGCAGATTCTTTGAGGAACTGAAAGTGAGTCTCCTGAGAAGAATGGAAGCTGGAATAAAGGTAAAGAGAGACTCACTGACACTGAAACAGCTGAGATTAGATTTTATTGTTTAGTTTCTGTAAATTTCTGTTAAATTGGTTTTGTTTTTTTCCTCCTGGTGCTGAAAAATGAATAACTTGTATCTAATGGCCGTTTTCACAGGAAATTAAATGAATGGTCATCTCTGACTGTTGGACAATACTGTTAAAGGGTTGAAGGCAAAAGCCTTGTCCAGATGGTCAGCAACCCAAATGTTAAGAAGAGCCATTTTGTCCTTCAACAAAACTCAAACCACCTTGGGAGGTACAACATTATACGTCCTTTGTCTTAGCTGTAAATATGTCTCAGTCTGTGCTGATGTCTTAGTTTAGGATAAAAATATAATATAAACAAAAACACAGACTCACTCTGCTCTGCTTTAAGCTTTAGCTCAGCTATAGCTGCTTTTCTCGCATCTCCAGCAGGAAACTTTTCCTCAGAAGTGGAACAGTTTCTTGTAAAATGTCTCAACGTTCAACTTTTTACGAGGCTGAAGTCGCTTCTCATTCTCCAGCTTCTTGTTCAAATTTTCCCGTTCCACCTTAAATGGTGTCTGAGGTGCCAGAATGTAACTCTTGCACCATTTCTCGTTGTATAATAAACGTATCAGGAAACCAGCTGGAGTGATTATAAATGAAATAGGTAATTCGTCTCCAAATCATCGAGGTTTGTCTTAAATCTCTCTCTTTAACGTTTCATTAGCTACTAGCTAGACGAGTCTGTGTCGCTTCAGTGACCAGCAGTCTGTGCACCAACCTTCAGGGTTAAAGGGTGAATTCGCAGTTCTACATTAACTCCAGTGTTTAAGACCATTTACTGTTAACCTTTTCAACTCCTTGACACCACAGGTGGTTCCAAAACGCACATCGTCATATTCTTCATAACTTTCATATTTCATAAGCTACATTCTAAAGGTGGGGGTTGTATGAGAGCTGTAACTGTCTTCTTTCCAGTCAAATAGATGGTGATGTAATTTTAAACCCTTATAATAAAAGAAGCTGAACTTTTCTACTGAAAGTCGACCCATTTTTCCACAAATCTGGGCTATAAACTATAAACAGATGGCGTCTCTTCAGTGATCTGCTCTGTAAACATTATTTTTATAAAATAATACAAAGAGCGTCTAAGATTTTTGGCTTTCAGCAGTAAATTGTAAGCATACAGCAATATGTGTGATCATAAAACACATGTTCTGTTAATCTGAGGGGAGCTTTTACAAAAAAGCAAAATAAATTTACATTTATTTCATGAAGTTACTGAATAATTTGCCTCACGATTTGGTCATGTAAATTCAGATGGACAAACCAAAATATACCCGGGAGAATAAGAGGTTAAACTGTGTTGAACGATCAGCAGAGCTTTATTTTACTGTAAAGGAGGATTATTTGATTTTCACCTACAAATCTAATTCTGCTGTGGAGCCACAACAGGGCAGTAAAAGAGCCTCATATTGCCGACACCTGGCCTTGACCATGCTTTCCATGTTTAGCTTAAATCATGGTGGTTTCTATGGAGTTCGCTATGAAAGAACAGCCAGCAGTGCTTTCATCAAGACCCTTCAGCCTCTTCATGACTGTTTGGGAATTTGATCTGTATACCTCACCGGTTTACTGTGCCAAAGCATAGCACATGGTTTGGAGCTGTAATGAAGGTATGATTTAGGTGCTGAACAGCGTCCAGCAGGTCTAAAAACAACACTGAACTCAAGTCCAAAATCCTCCCAAGAGCTTCCAGTGGGAAATGGAGGGGGACACTCTGAAGACATTCTAATAACACACCATCACCAGATCTGCTGAAAGACAGCTCATTATCTGCGAGTAGAGGCCTCTGGACTTGTCTGAGGTCTGAAAGCTGACACTGTGGTCTGAGGATGTCCTAAAATGTACACCGTCTCTTAGAGGCAGCTTTTGTACAGGCGTGATATCTGCCTGCAGCACAGAGCGTGTTTAACCAGTGCAGCGCAACAGCCGCATATTTAGAACAACCTCAATATTAGATACGATAAAAGTGGTACTGGGGTCTGAGGGTATTTTCTTGATCTTTGCATATATTCTTAAACTCGCCTTTGAAGGCTCTGGCATACAACATGACACCCATATATTATATTTATCGTTTTTATATTGAAATCGTAATTTGAAAGAGTGCAATTTTCAAATCGCAAGAGTTGCAATTTTTATTATATAGTACTTTATAAACAATGTTGTCTTAGGTTTTAAATGGAAAAACAATTAACTAATAACACAGAGCTTGCAGAGGAGCTGGACCAGTCAGAAGCTACAAAACATCTATGTTCCGTATGTGTGACATCACAACCATCACAACTAACTGGTATAGTCTGACGCTCTCAGCATTCAAGCTTCACGCCAGAAAAACTGGATATTTTGCTCTTCTTGGCCAAAAAAAGAGGGCCGGAAATTCATACAGAGAAAATTACAGCACGCATATATATATATATATATATATATATTATATTATATATATATATGTGTGTGTATATATATATATATATATATATATATATATATATATATATATATACACGCATACATACATACATACATATACACACACCTGATCATTTCCTTGACCTTTGAATACATCTAATTTCATCTTACTACTCTGCTTTGATTAATCTTTAGGAAAAGATTCAATGCACCAAGACTTATTTACATTTTAAAATAGCCTGAGAATTTTATTTTGGGCTCACAAACAAATTAACATGTTATTAAACTTTATTAGGATGAACCAGAAATGAATACAAACATTCTCATAATGATGCAGCTGAACCACCACTTTAAACTATTCTGCATCACCATGCATTTAAACCTCCTTCCTCTACTCTGTGAAGTTTCATCTAAAGCTGCCCAAATCAGATCTAAACCCTCAAATCCAATCATGCAAGCGTGATCAATGTGTAAACATCACCTCGAATAGGACTGGACTGCGTGTCCAGCTCCACTCACACAGTGATGATAAGTTGGATGACAGCTTACAGCCTATTTATGAAGATGTGAGTTACTGTCCTCTACAGTTACAGCCAGGAGCAGAAGCCGACCCTGTGAAGGTGCCTCACGGTCATCTATATTTGTGAGAACTTTTCGCACAGATGGTGAGCAGACAGAAAGCTTTACGCTCCTGCCAAACAACTGCAGACAGCCTACGAAGCCTAGAGAGGAGCTAATCAATATTATATAAAATTCCCAATATTTCAGAAGGGAAAATGTTCATAGCTTTGAATGGAAGTCAGTGGAACAAGATTTCACCCCCATCTAATTTTGGAGTATTTCTATTGGCCCATTCATAAAAAATTCATAAAGGGCAGCTGGATTTTTCAAATAATGGAGATACAATATTCAATAATGGAGATACAAGGGTTTTTCCTACAGCGATGAAATGTAAAGACACTAAGACAGATAAAATACAATGCCGTGAAAACGTTTTTGCCGCTCACCCAGTTTCTACTATTTTTACTAATGTGTCACATATAAATGTTTCAGATCATCCAACTAGTTTTAATAAGATAAAGACTACAAGAAAACGATCAATTCTGTTTACTGAAGATGAACATTTATTCAAAAACTATATCAACCGTGTGAAAAAGTAATTGCCCCCTAAACCTAATAACTTCTTGTGCCACCCTCGGCAACGACAACTGCAATCAAACGTTTGCGATGAGCCTTTCACGACGCAGTGGAGGAATGTTGGCCCACTCTTCTTCACAGAATTGTTTAAATTTGGCTACACTGGAGGGTTTTCGAGCATGAACTGACCGTTTAAGGTCTTGCCACAGCAGCTCAACGGGATTCAAGTCAGAACTTTGACTCCACTCCAAAACCTTAATTTTGTTTCTTTTGAGCCATGAACTTGAACCCAATGGTCAATCGAAATTTGGTTAACTGGTGGACTTATTATCTAAGGGGGCAATTTTTCACATAGGGCCAGAGCTGAACAGCATTTTTCCTTCAAACAAATTTAAAAACCAGCTTTTGGCGCTCACTCACACTGTGTTAGCTGTGGAGTTTATCCTGTGGGGTTAAGAGACTGACTGACTAGATTTATCATAGATCACCATCTTAAATTAAGCACATTGATTAAAAATAGCTGATTTTTAAGCTTTGTAATTTTTAAACAAGAAACATCTGATCAGTATCGGCTAAAGCTTAAAGTCTCAGTATCTGTATCGGAAGAGAAAAAGTGGTATCATGCCATCTATAACCCAAGAGGAATAGACTCAGCATTTTCCATTGAAAAGTTCATTAGTGGTGTTCAGAGGCCGACCGATACATCATTTGGCCGATAATAATAATGGATATCAACATGTGGTTTTACCAGTATCAGCCAAAATCTCCGTTTTATCAGCGTCAGTGAAAAACTGTCACCAATTATTGGCATGTTATCGGCGAAACCATCAACAGTAATTCATGCTGAAGTCATGATTTTAAACACAAAACACATCAAATGTATCCAAACTTAACATTTCACACAAGAATAACATGCTTTAACACAAAAATGAGATAAAATAAGTGCTCCAGTATTTATGTTATTACATTAAGACTGTGAGTTTCTGCTGTTAGTGTAGAGTTTAGGAAGAGTAACTATAGATAACCGAATCATATCAGACAGTAAAGCACTGTTTAACTAAAACCACTGGAGTGTAACATTCAAATCTAAAATAAAATACAGGCCCAATCCCATTTCTTCCTTTGACCTCTACCCTTTGTTTTCGAGTGTCACCCTAACCCCTTGGAACTGAGTTACAAGGCTTAGTGGTTGAAAAGTGGCCCTACGAAATGGGACCAAAAAAAACAAAACAAAAACAAAACAACAAACAAACAAAAAAGTATCACTTCATTAACAGTTACCAGCGCTGCTCTGTAGGCGACCCTGCCAGTCTGCAGTGACAGCAGAGGAGGGTAAAGTTCAGCTCCTCACTGCTGGGCTTTAGTTACATTTAGGGCATCATATGACTTCAAAGAGGGGGGCAATTATTTATTATCACCCACCCCTAATTCTTCAGTGATATGAAGCTGAAGTCAGATATTCTCCAGCTTCTTGTTCGAATTTTCCCATTCCACCTTAAATGGAGCAGCAGTTACATTCTGGCTCTTTAGGCGTCAGAACTGCTGGACTATTTAAGGTGGAACGGGAAAGTTAGCTAGCTAGCTAGCGGGACATTAGCATGCTATTAGCGATTTTTTTTGTGCTTGTTATGAAGAAAACGACCATAATACACTGAGACAACATTAAACTAAGATAATACAGTAGTTATCGTGATTTTTTTAATGGAGAAAATTCTCACATTTGTGTGTTTCTTTGGTCTCTTGTTCTCCATCTTGCCGGTTTTTCTTTTTTTCTCATAACTCTCTGTTTGGAGTCTCTGAAAAACCTCTGTTTGGAGGGTCATGTAGCCCCAACACTTCACCCTACCCCTCTATCTCAACAAGAATCGGGACACCCTACCCCTAGATGTGAACACGCAAAACAGAGGGCTAAGGGCTCAGTGGTAGGGGCGAGGGGTGAAATGGGATTGGGCCTAATTCTGCTGTGGAGCCGCAACAGGGCAGTAAAAGAGCTGCATGGGGCTCCGGAGGCACATGTTGCTGACCCCTGACCTAGCTAGAATTCCCCAATCACATGATATGTGATTTTTTAAAGGAGAAAATTCTCACATTTGTGGGTTTCTTTGGTCGCTCGGGCAGCCGTCTTGCCGGTTATTCTTTTTTTCTCATAACTCTCTGTTATGAACACGCAAAACAGAGGGCTAAGGGCTCAGTGGTAGGGGCAAGGGGTGAAATGGGATTGGGCCCAAATGTTCATATCAGTCAGGGCCTAGTCGGTATATGTGAAGTGTTAGTCGATTAAACTCTTTAAGCCCTAAGGGTCCATTTATGAGCGCACACTTTAACTTCTAGCTCTCATAACTACAATACATAGCATACATGCTTTATAGCAGCTGTGGAATAATTTCCAGGAATTCCTGACCAATAAGTCTTTGTTATTCCTGCTTATATTCTTATTTAATCTTTATTTTCATATTTTAAGATCAATAACGATAGTCCGTCTGGGGTCTATTCCGAATGAGGGCATTTTGGCTGCAAACCGTGGCTCGCAGGTTAAGCATCTCACCATGAGAACAGTGAAACAAGTCTCAGGTATTGTTCTTCAGTGTTATGTAAGGGTTCATAAACTGATCCCAGCTCGGTGTTCTCACTCTGAGAGGTCTGATAAAATCAGGAAGTCTCACCCAGCTTTCCCCTCGACTCCTCCAGCTTCTGGATCTGGTTCTCCAAGAAGACCATCGCCACGGCGAATGCCAGCAGCGCCAGGAGCTGATACTTGGGCGGCATCATCATCCTCCACAGAGCCATCAAATCAGCCGGGATGTGGAGGACATGCCGTGTGGCTCCACAGGACGGGCTGCGCTCTGCAAAACACGGATCAACAGATGAGGAAGATAAACACAGACACCCTCAGTCCCGCCTGTGACACCCACACATACACTGTGTATCCTAACAGCTTGTATAATCTCAACAGAAAAGCACTGACTAATAGAATGGGACTCTATGGAGAAGCTGCACATGAGCCTAAGGTCACCATGCCCAATGCCCAGCCTGGGCTGGAGGGGTATAAATCCCCCCAGCATTGGGCTGTGGAGCAGTGGAGCTGCGTTCTCTGGAGTGATGGAGCTCCATCCAATACATTTGGGATGAGTTGGAGTGATCCAGAACTGACCATCCAACAAATCCTCACAGCAATGCTGCAACATCCAACCATGGGATGGAGGTTAGGGAACCAGCCTTGTCACCAGAAGGTCGCTGGTTCGATCCCCTCAGCTGACAGTACATGACTAAAGTGCCCTTGAGCAAGGCACCTAACCCCCAACTGTTCCCCGGGCGCCGTGGATAGGGCTGCTCACCACTCCGGGCAAGTGTGCTCACTGCCCCCTAGTGTGTGTGTATTCACCAGTGTGTATGTGGTGTTTCACTGCACGGATGGGTTAAATGCGGAGGTCTAATTCCGATGTGTTCAGACACAGCTGGCTAAAAGGTTCATTCATTTCATTTCACCCCACCCAGTGTAAAGCATCCCAGAAGAGTAGAGGCTGTTACTGCAGCACAAACTCACTATAAATATCTGTGGACTTTTAGACGCACCTCTCTCTTTGTCTCTCACCTTTTTGGCTTGAATTATTAAGATTAATTAAGATTACTAAGATTTTTTTTTAACTTAAGAGAAATTCCACTGATTTTGAAAAATTTTCTGCAGAATAAGGTGGTTAAGATGTAAACAGAGTCGTTCAGAGTGGTTTGGTGTGAAACGCTCTGTTCTAGAGAAACTTACAGTCAGAATTGTTCACAGTGGTGGTGATAGGAACCAGACGTCCACCTCTAAAAGCTCCCTCACAGAAAGTTACTACATGAAATGGTTACGAAGACACCGCCTGATGACTGAGACACTGTTTTATGATAGTGTTGTACATGTTGTAATCAGTTTATAGTGGAAGAGTATGTGCAGGAAGCTGTGAGGCAAAATGATCCCAAAGGAAAACATTCTTTTTTCAAATTTTTCCACTATTTTCCATCATCAACATTCCATATAAACTCAGAAGACTCGTGTAGGTTCACTGGTGGTTCTGGATAGTAAATAAAATGTCTATATTTGTGTTGTAGTCATGGCGACCCCTGGTTCCTATCACCACCACTGTAAAGAAACCTGAACCATTTCACACCAAACCACTCTGAATCACTCTGTTTACATCTCAAACACTGAAATTAGGCAGCAATTCTGAAGAAATGAGTGGATTTTCCCTTAAAGTATCTTTAAATGTTGGCTGAAGCGGAACTATTGTCGTAAAGAAATAAAGAAAATAGATAACTTGCTGGCAAAGTTTTTAAATGTACTTCTGTGACTGAGCAACAACAACAAAAAAACTTAGCAAAAAACATTAAAAAGACTGATCAGAAAAACTCGTTTTCCTTTTCTTTTACAGATATTATAAACCACAAACAGCATATCTCTGTAAATGAACGAGAAATAATTACATATGGGAAATGAACATAAAAGTAATCTCCAAGAAAAACAGCACAACTCCACAATAAATAAACGATACAGTCTCCAAACAAAACGGCCCAGAAGTCTCAACATCTGTTTTAATATCTGAAATGTTTTGTGGAATAAATTCTGTGCGATGATTGTAAATAAATCGCTCCTCTCGTTTCTGATTAAAGTTACTAAAACCTAAATCTGATCTTCGCTGTTTCTGTCCTGCGCCATCACCACTCACTGTTAGCTTAGCTCAGATTTCCCCGTTCCACCTTAAATGGTGCAGCAGTTACACTCCGGCGCCTCAGGCTCTTCAATGCCCGCCGCTCCATTTAAGGTGGAACGGAGAAATCCGAACACGAAGCTGGCGAATGAGCTCAGCCCGGTTAGCTCACTCAAACTCAACGGCTACGGCAACAATAAGGAGTTTAATTCTCCAATGAGTCTCAGGGAAAGGTCAGCCACCTCACCTGCTGCCGAGAACGAAGATCAGACAACAAACAGTCCAGCTTTACGAGTCCAAACACGACAAACAGAACCACTCAGCAGCAACGACGGAGCCCGATCCGGACCGCTTCAGTCTTTACTTCCGGCTAGATGCGCAGCCACTTCCGGCTCTTTATAAAAGTTTAATATCGATGACATTAAATTTAAACGCATAATTTAATTAATGTTCTGGGTTTTTGTCAGATGCGCTGCGATAAATACACAATCGCAAATACATTCGATTAATATTTTTAAAATGGTACTTATATTTTTAAAATGGTACTTATTGTACTATGTGTTTAAGTTATTTATTCAAAATAATATCTCGAATTTCTCTGTTTTTTCTAATTTTTCATCATGATGCTTGTGATTGATTAATACCACAATTTTTGTTTGTAGTTGTTTTGCTTTTCACTCTAAAGCATTTGTGGATTAATTAAAGGCTTTACGTATAATAATAGATAGATGGATAGATAGATAGATAGATAGATAGATAGATAGATAGATATACAGAAATATACAGAGATCTGCAAAAGATCTATAACCTGAGATGAGAAAGGCAGTGCAATAACAGCATATAATGACAATACTAAATAAATATGTGTATATATTGGCTCTGAAATAAAGTGTCCAGATATGCAAGATGCGCGATAGGGGTTACAGAAAGTGCAATATGTACAGTAAGGTGTCCAGATGCGCAGATGGACAGAATAAACCTACGATTTAGCATGAGATTCAGCTTCAGTCCTCATCTCTCCTCTTCCCTCGTCCCTCTTCTCTTCTTAATATTGCTTAATATTTAATTTCTTAATATTCAAAATAATTCATAAAATATATATATATATATATATATATATATATATATATATACACATATATATAATCAATACTTTTTTCTCATTATTATTACTATTATTATTACTATTATTATTATTATTATTAAACAATAAAACAATACAGAACAAGTAATATAGGCATACACATAATGCATAACAGTACCAAAGCACTACCACAGAGAAATCAGGTGCATGTATGCATTTCAAACAAAGGTCTGATCTGAGGTCTGAGCAGTTTTAATTTTAAAATTAAAATTAGCTCAGTCAAGTTAAAAATAAAATAAGCATTAGCATTGCCCATACAGAACTCTGATATATGGCCATATTTGCACATACATCATAGAAAGCCCAGGCATATATTTAAAAATACAAATCTATGTACATATATGTTTTAAGCATATACAAGCATCAAATATCGGACATACATGCATATTATTTGCATCACACATTTACGTCTGACAGGCGGGTAAATACATACATGCATAATGTATAGATCACATATATGCTGTCTATCTCACATACATTTACATATACACATATCTAGTACACCATAAGGCTTTTTAAAGAAAAAAAAATGGATTATAAAACATGAAGCTAACATATATGAGTAATTTATGACATTGACACATGAATAATGTTTCCACTGTACATTGTTTAATATATGGGTTACACATATATGTTTGTATATGTTGATCTATGGCTGAAATACATGTACCATATTTGAAGATGGCCAATTTCAAATAAGTTGACATATATGTCACCTATATGTCCATAACCGTGCTGTTATTTCACGATAACATCACGTTTTTTCACAAACACTGTATCACTCCGCTGAGACGCTGTTGCTAAGCAACGACTTTGACAGCTGTAGGAGACGCTCAAGACATTTGAACGTTTTTACTTCTTACTTTGCCACAAACAGAAAATGGACACTTTTAAGATCACATTTGACCGACAGCCTATTTCAGGTTCTTGGTCTGGTCAGGTGGAGGCTGATGGCACAGGTACGGGAACAGCCACGGGAACAGCCCTCTCCTCCTCCTGCAATGCCGCAATGGACACCAATTCGTATTATTGTTCATTTATAATGGAATAAAATGATCCCGGTCAAAAGTGACTCGGGAACACTATGAGTGTTAGCCAAAACAAACACAACAGGAGGGTTAATACAAGGAACAGAATTTTTACATGCAAAATTTTCTAATAACTTTCTTAGGAGCTGTTTCAACAGGATACTGTACCCAAATGTTTGTTTTAGAAATTCAATTCTTCATTTTTCCCCCCAAATGATTATATATGTAAACTCTGATCTATGTATATTACATTTCCTGCCCCCCCAAAGGCTGAGGAAGCTCATTTCAAAATAATGAATGGAAAATATCCATCTAAAGCGTTTCTGAGACAAAGGTTTAATTTGGATGAAAATGTTTGTGCTTTCTGTAAAGAAGATGTTGAAACAACGGAGCATTTCTTTGTTTCTTGTAAGGACTTGAACACATTTTGGGACGATTTATGTTGTTGGTTATACCCAAAGATTGTGGGTTTAAGTGAGTTTACAATGGTAGATATTATATTTGGAATGATTTTCCGAGACACGGATTCTGAAATGGTTGTAAATGTTATTTTTTTGTTAGGAAAATTTTTCATACATGAAGTAAGGTTTATAAAAACAACACCATCTTTTCATTTTTTATATATATATATATATATATATATATATATATATATATATATATATATAAATGTATATTTATAAAAGGAGCTCGTACTATTTTGGTACCTTAGAGTGCATGAAAAAGAATAATGGCAAAAATGTACTAAAATTAATTTATGAAAATGGTTTGAAAGACACTAGGGAGTAATCATGTCTCCCCTAACACCCCCTTTTTAATTTTTTTTTATTATTATTATTATTTTATTTTATTTTATTTTATTTTATTTTTTTTTATTGTTTTTTTTATATGGTTACTTGAATTTACCGACTGCTTCGGTTTGTGTTATGTAAACAAATGTACACCGCATTGCCATTACTGTTTGTACATTGATTGCATAAATAAAAAAAATAAAAATAAAAATAAATAAAAAGAATTACCGCTCTGTACTTTCGTCCCGGTTTCTCAAACGCTAGAGGGCGCTCCGAGCGAGTTCAAAATGTATGGGTTTAGATGGAGTATTTGAGCAAAATCATAGTTGTTATATTTTAAGAGCTTTTAAACTGGAGTTAAAGGAGTTTAGAACGGGGCCTCATGTACGTCCATAACGTCTGTGAGTGCGAACAGCCAATGAGCTGCTAACCAATCAGCACTCAGTAGTAGTAAACGGGCTCTGACCCGGCCTTGTACCAAACGACTTTTCAAGCAATAACATATTAGCACACTCTTTAAAAAGCTGGTGTTTCAAGGGTTCTTTAGTAAAGAAAATGGTTCTGTATAGCACCAAAAAGGGTTCTTCTACTGTTACAAGCTTGACATCGTAACAGTAGAAGAACCATTTGGGTGCTATATAGAATCCTTTTGAAACAGGTTCTACATAGAACCAACTACAGCACATTCTCCATCAATCTGAAGAAACATTTCATGATGCAGAGAACCTTATAATCATGCAAAGGGTTCTTTGAGTGTTCATGGCTCTATAAAGAACCATTTTCTTTACTAAAGAACCCTTGTAGAACCATCTTTTTAAGAGTGTAGTGTAGTACTTAGTATGTTAGCATAGCATGTTGTATTTCAAATGTATTGAATAAAACCCATGTCTGGCATTTAATATGTTTTAATGTTCGCAGTTCCTTCACCAAATTATGGTTCCTTAACAAGCAGCTTGTTGCTACGTCAGAGTAATGAGCTCCGCCCACTTCGTTCTCCAGCTCCTTACACTAAATTCCCAAACTGTCATCACCACTGAGCAGCTTTTCAGTCGGCAGCTGAGACAGAAGAGCAGCTAAACAACCTGGAATCAGCCAGAAATGAACCCAATACCATTCGCCAAACGTGTAGTCTGATCTTCAGAGTCTGACCAAATCAGACTGAGCCATAAAACTGCCACAATATCAAGTTTAGCTCAGTTTTGTCATGTTTTGCCAGATCTTGTGTTATTGTTGTCTGAGTTTGCTTAAATACCTGAAAAGCTTTCCTTTTCTAAGTAAGGGATTAGTTTAGTTATCTTTTGTTTCTAGTTTGTTTTGGTTTTATCTCACCCCCCTGAAGTTTATCTTTTGTGTAAGCTCATTTGCATTTGATCAGTTTAAAACTAGACTTACCAACTTCTATAAGATGGTGCCTTTAACTTGTTCAAGTTAAAAGAAATAAATGCTGTATAAATAATAAAAGTGATCAATTATTTGTAGTTGGTGGTGTCTTGGTCTGGCAGCTGGATGGCGTTGGCTTGTCTTTTTTTATGTACGACCTTAAGTGTTCCCCTAAACATAGGAGGTCGTAACAATATATTATCACCTGATGTTGTGTTAGATCTCTTTATGAACTTCAGCTCGTGTGAACATTATAAGTTTTGAACTGGTCTTTGCTGTTTATGTCTTGCAGGCCTCATTTACCGGAGCTCACACCGCTCGTTTTTTTAGGGAAAAAACATTACATACATATTATTATGACTATAACGGATACTAAGATGAAACCTATTGTAGTGTTTGTCACAGAGTACTTCACTGAAATGTTTACCAAAGTTACTTTTTTCAAACCAGTTAAGTTTTCTAAACTGTGGCACAAAATAACAACTTTTGTGTTCCCAGTCAAAACTGACCGGTATGATTTATTTATTGAAAACAAAAGCCCAAATGTACACAGGGAAAATTTAAGAGAAATGCGTGAACCACACACTGTATGAACATATTTACTACACAGTTTTCTGTTGTACTCTGGAAAGACAGTGCCATACTGTTATCCTTATGTTCCTCAGTTTTGTCCTCTCATGAGCATGTGGGGCAGTATACTGTGGTCGTTGCATATATATACACACCACACCTGTGGCAGACAAAGCTAGTGTTTTACCTCGTGCACACAGTTGGCACCTCTTTCTTTTGTCTCCTCCTTCTCTGGTTGCTGTGGATGTGCTTGAACTCTGTTTTATACACTAATTGTAGTCGTATAGATTCATTTCCAATAACCGGTCATTTTTGACCGGGAGCACCATGGGTGTATACAAGTTCCATTTTTAAATTTTTCAAAATTTCAAAATTTTTATAAAAATATTTTAGGTTTATTTTAGGTGTTCCCGTGTGTGAACAAAGTCATGGAACCTCATGACAAACAGAT